AGTACTGATACTTCGTAAAAGCAACGAGGCGCGAAACCGGCAGTTACCTTGTACACGAGAAATTTTGAAGCAAATATAACCACAATCGACGTTTGCATTCGGTTCAACATCGGTATTGATTAACATCAACGAGAGCAGTCGTGTCGCGACAACGAGAAGCAATAGCCTTAGGTGGGGATCGACGGGAAAGGCTCTTACTCCACTTACTCCATTGCGATTCCGCGGTAGGCTTTCTAAAAATTAACTTATACGCCCGATAGCATTACGTCAAAGAATTGATAGCCGGGGAATTAGCCTTGTTCTTGCTCATGCCACTCCTCCTTTTTTTTCTGCTCGTGCGCCGAGCTTGCAATTCTCAACGTTTATCAAATCAATTTCGAGCGAACTTGCCTCGCGGGTGCTAATAAAAATTCCGACGCTCGCGCGCGCTAAAAGAAACCTGCCGCCACGACTTGGCCCTCGTTTCCAAAAATACTCGCTTGTTTTCCCTTGCCAATTAATTTACTGCGCGCGCAGCCATCGCAACCATCGCGGAAAAAGGAACAAAGCGAGCGAGTGAGTATTTACAGCGGTAGGAAGGGAGAAAAAAGGGCACAAAGCCCAATCGATCTTCCGGGGAAGGGAGGAAGAAAAAGGCAGGCCTCCTCGTTTTCTATAATGAGCGCCAATGAAATTTGCGCTCCGCCGAAATCGGATTTCGCCCAAGCCAATTTGCCGAGCTTTTTTTTTTTCTTTTTTTTTCACTCTCCCCGGCTCGCGTAATGCCGGATTAGCCGACGGCTTTCGCGAGGGTAAGGGCATTGATCGCGGTGCCGGCGACGGCCGAGACCTGTTACAGCCTCCCTTTTGACGTCTCCCGCCTCCGCCTCCTCGCGCGCACCACTGCGAATTAGCATATTTGCATGAGAACTGCTTTCGACTAATGAGTCTCTATCTCTTTTCCCTGCCCGTCGCTTTTCCACGTGACCCGCTTTCCCTCCCGCTATATCGCCGCTAGTTTGGATTTCCAAAGTTATGAGTTATATCTTGTTAGCTAATGGTTTTAGATGATCTTGTAAATGAGTTATTAAGGTTTTAGGAAGTTGGAGTTCCATTCAAGCCGGTCGTTGGTCGATTTTCGCTCGAAATCTCGTAGATTTCAGGTACGCTACGTATAAGGCCATTCACGCTTCGCTTCAGATTCATATCAAAATTTGTTCTGCAAATCTCAATTGAATTTTTCATTAACTTACGCGATCAATTGCAGCTCGTTGCGAGCCTTGAATGTTGCCGTGGCCTGACAATGTTTCAAAAGTAACATCGACGAACCGACAAAGAAACAACCGTATTCTCTATTTCCACTATAACAATGCCGCAATAACTTGGGGAAACAATTCGGAATGGAAATGCAAACTGAAACGTCACTCGAAAAATATTGATATCCAGTAAGAATGTCAGAGGCCCTTGCCGACAATGCAACGTTATCGAAATCCGGCGAGACTTTCCTATAAAAATGATTTACGCGCGCGCGGAAAGAAACGCGATCGGGAGCCATTAGCAGCGACGCAAACGACGCATAGAAACACCAGTGAGAAATCCAGCCACCCTCGCGTCTTTTTCTTTCATCGATCAAAGAACCAAGCAAGTAATTTACCCAATAAAAAGCACAGAACGATTCGAGGTGCAGCAGCTGGTGAACGCCTTGGAGTTGGCCGACGCGACGGACAAGCGCACGAGTCTTCAACGGCTTGGCTTTCACGTAAGCACTTGGGAGGACGTTTTGAAGGCACGCGGGTAAGTGGACGTACAGAGAGAGCAGTTAATTCGTGCATAACAATTTTTCTCGCACTCGAATACGTATCGAGCAATCAAGGCATCCCACGGATCTCATTAAGTCGCCGAAGCCTCCTTCTATAACCTAATACCTCGCGCAGAAAGCAAATCGGTCGGCGCAAAACAAAGCCCCTTTCGTCGTCCCCCTATCCATTCCGATTCTAGTTTGCTTTCCTTTCCCTCGGGCATGCACTCAAAATACGTCTCTCGATTTGAGTTTGCTTTCGTCAGCCTCGAGAGGAAATAAACAACTTTCGTAACGAATACCTTTGCCGTCCTAGATTTTGCTTTTCAGTTCGATACATCCGTGAAACAAAGTAGAAAAACCGGAGATCAGATGCACTCGTGCACTTGGAAACCGCGAACGAAGGGAGAAGGGAAAATCGTACGCTCAATCACCCAACAACACTACTCCGTCATCCGCCTTCACCTCAACGCTTTCTCTCTCTCTCTCTCTCTCTCTCTCTCTCTCTCTCTCTCTCTCTCTCTCTCTCTCTCTCTCTCTCTCTCTCTCTCTCTCTCTCTCTCTCTCTCTCTCTCTTTCAGAAACGAGTAGAAGCTTTTCTGACGTCAAAGAGCGAATCGAATCAAAGTAAAACGTGCATCAAATCAACCTCCCTCCAACATTCACTGCCAAAGAGCCTTTTCTTTATAAAACTTGAGGCGAATCATTAAAAAGTTGTTGGCCACCAGGGAAAGCTATTGAATATCCCTCTCGCGAACGTTTCGTTTACTCGAACTAACGTGTATTTATTTTATTAATTGTCTTAACAAAGTTATAGCTTCAATTACAGCAATGGACTTCTTAATATTTGTCTATCTTCTCCTGTTCAATACAACTCTCGTGCAATCCAATAATAAGACCCGTGTCAATATTTGCATTACGATATTTATAAGCATCTAACGCGATATGTGTGAATCGATCGGCTTTTACCGCGCAAATTGTTTGGTTAGCTCATTCATCGCTCTGACGCGAAAAAAGAATTTTCGTAAAATAAATCGCTCGGCGTAGATTTGCTTTTAGAGCTGCGCCGCACTCGTAAGATTGCATTGCAATTAGCGGCGCATTACGCGCTTCTGCGTCGCGCGCCCGAGCTCATTTAATATTTGCGAAAGCCAAACATCGGAGAGGAGAATCGCCGAGAGGAGTCTGATTAACCGATCATCGCGCTTTCCTACAAACGCGACATACTGTAATCGAATTACGACGGGAGTACTTTTCCTTTTTACTCCCTCGACAGTTTTCCCACAATCGTTCGGATCGTCAAGTTATAACTTGGTTTGAAGATGCTCGTCATGACCACAAGACTCGACACATACGTTCGTCGTGTTTTAGAAAAGCGTCGTCGAGCAATCGAGTGACGAGGTTCGGCTGCGCCCGAGCGATCTACAGCGTAGACTTCGGCTCGGAGCGAGCGTGGGTCGATACGCTGGTATGCAATTACGGCCCGATCAAGACTACCGACGTACAAGTTCGATCTCCTCGGGTGAGTCGCTGTTTCTTCTAGCTTCTTCCCCCTATCACTCTCGCGGTTAGTTGGGGAGTTGGACGTGTTGTTGCGATGCGACTGTAGTAATGCCACGTATTCGAAAGGCATGCGAGTCCCGAACCGAGATCGATCGATCGCGCGGCTGCTTTGCTTTGCTTTCGGCTCTCGTGCCGAATACTCGAGTCGCCGATTATCGCTTGCGCACGGCAACGCCACCTTGCGACACCAACACCACGCGCGAAATCATTCTTTTTAATTTGCGCGGTACTTTTACGGTTCACGCGTCACTTGGGGCAAGAGCACGTTAACGAAGGAAAAGGCGCGAATCCCGATGGTTTACTCGCAGTCCGCAGAGCGCTTAGTTCTAAATCTTTACTCCGGCCGGAAGTTAACTTCGAAGGCATTTCGAAGCTCTTCCAGCGTCGTTCGAGCGCCGCTCGAAATGAAATAATGCCGCCGGCGTGTCTCGCGCAGTCGCGACAATATCTGCGGGAAGAAAAATTGATCCGCCAGCGAGACGCCGAGAAATCGGGCTGCGAGAGTGCTCGCACGCGAGACGCGCTCGTTAGAAAGCAATCGATCTCGGTTTTTGGCTCTCGGCCGCTCTTCTTGTTCGGCGCACGGCCTCGCCGGCTAAAATAGATTAAATCTGTCTGGGCTTGGAAACTTGCAGGATGAGCTTCCGCAGTTGAATGCCACCGCTTCCGCCGTTAGGATCGCCACGACGACGACGACGACGACGACGACGAGGCGCCGACTTCTGCTCGTTGGCTGCCTTTTCCTCGTTGTCCAGCGAGCTGTAGCTGCCGCTTCTTCGTCTTTTCTCCCGGCCGACTTTTTCTCCTTTCTCGCTCGCCGCAGCTCATTCAGACTTGGGCTTAATATCGTGAGTTTCTCTTGTGTTTCTTTGGGGATTCGATGCAATACTTAATTGATTGCTCGCGAGATTGAGTTTTTCCGTCTTGCCTCTATCGTCCAAGTCAGGAGCGAAGGGAATGCCGTGAAATAAATCACTTTAATGATAGAATAGAACTCTCGCGCGAGCCAGTTTAATTCATGCGCGTGAATTTAAATATTTGGCATAATATCCATCTTAACTAGCACAAGAGTTTACTATTAAATTAAAGCGTTTAGCTGCACGTGCACTTTGCAAATAAAACACAGCAGAGCTTCTAACATGCTTGCGTAGTATCTGAAAAGCAATTTGCGCGGTAATACTGAAGGAAAGTGAATCCACAGCGCATAACTTTATATGCTCAAATATAATTAATAATAAATCAATCGGCACGATCGCAAAGTGAACTTTCTGTCGCGACATGCTCGATGCAAGGTCGGAAAAAACAAGCAGCCGAGCTTTTGGCAAAAGGTTCGCCTAATTAAAGGAAAACAGCCCAAAGCCGACGGAATTAACAAGTCGTCGTCTGGCCGGGGCTTTCTTAGGTGTAACTTCATCGTACGTGGCTGCAAGCAGTCCGCTTTTGAAAACGACGATCGATTTTTCATGTCGGCAATTATTTCTCCCCGCAGCAAGTGTACGTATATAGCTCGCGCAACGTCTGTATTGCGAGCACGAGGCGAAATTTCGGTCTGTAATTCCCTGCCGCGAGCCCGGGGATGGATTTCGCGAGTATAAGAGTTCAAGGATATGTAGGTCGGAGAAAGATGCTGAGATCTGCTTTTCTTTTTCTTTTACATTCGTTCGTGTATATATATTTTCGCTTAACTACAGTCTAATATCTTTTTGTTCTCGAGAAAAACTTGTAGCAATCGTTTTTTATTACGCGAAAAGTCAGTGGATTTATTAATACTTTCGATTGTCATCGAACCTGAAACTCTGTCAAATGAGTGAATTGTTTTATTATTACAATAAGTCGTATAAATACTTTTTGGCGTCCTTTGCCCATAAGAAGTCAAAGTGGTTGAAGCGAGGATGCTTTACAGCCTTTACAGCAAACACGTTTGGTAAACGTTTCGCCAAAAGTTTTACATCCTGAAAGGTGAATAATGATAAGGTGATTTTGAAGATAATCGTCTTTTGTTTTATGATATATACGTGACAAATTGCAACGTACCTTTTCGTTGACGATATCGTCATTTTTTCCGTAAAATATTAACGTTGGCACCATGACCTTGGTTAAATTGTAAACTGGTGGCCTTTTTCGACCGTATTTTTCGATGTTTTTTGATTGGCCGTAATCGTAGGCTGCGAATGTTTCTGCAACAAGATAAGTAATTTCATTATCAATTTTTTAATGACGACTAACGTGCATTCACGTTTCTTTCGTTTTGCAAACATTGACTCAGAATTCAAATAAACATCAAGGTAGATAAAATGTATTGTACTTTCATCAAAACGCGTTTTTATCTATAATATAATTGTATAATGTAAAAATTCAGAGCGAACAATAGCAGGATAATTACATTCTTAACGTTTAAATTATTGCAAGCAATTGATTTTTTTAAAAAGTTTTATTTTATTTTGGAACTGATAATTTTATATATTCCGAAATTGCTTGTTTGAACATTGACGCATACCTCGGATAAAAATTAGCGCGAATAAAGCCAGCTACCTAAGTTATTACAGCTGTTATACTTACTCCTTTTAAAATTCTGGTTGTAATGATAGACTGTTAATTTCGACATGCCTGCAGGAAAGTGTGCCATAATATTTGGAAGAGCAGTCTAAAAAAGATAACACGGGTTTTTTTCAGAATTCTAAGCGTGATAAGACAAGGTTTCCATGCTAAAACTTTACCTCATTAAATCGATCAGGATCTAAGCCAATATTTGAAAATAAAGCAACGCAAATAGGTTGAGTTAAAACGTCACTATCCCCACAAAATCGACCCCCCAAGTACGCAGCCACAGCTGTTTGTGGTAACAGCTCATTCAATTTCAAATAGTCGATGCTCGTCTAAAACAACAAACGATATTCATTCGTAAAATTTTTTTCACGGACGTATGCACCGATAAGATAACTTGTGCGCCTACGTCAAAGAAAATATTGATTTACATCGCGATTGAATTAATCATATTAATAAACCGGAAAAAATGCGCTACAAATGCTTAACTTTTAAGCAATTAGCCTTTACTGTAAAAACATGAATTATTTCTTTATTCTAAAATAATGAATTCGCGGATGACTGTTTAAGAAACAAAGTAAATTATCAAATATTGACATCGAACGCTAAAGTAATGGAAGTCTAATGTGACATATTTTTTTCGAGCAGTCTTTTTCTCCTTGAAATGTTATCTTTAACTTTTTAACAATCACCTGTTGAAAAAGCGCGGCAGAAACGTTGTTGTCTGAAAAATCGATGGCCCGATGACAATCTTTAAGAAATAAACATCCCGAAGGAAAAGAAAAATAACGGGTACCTGTATCAGGTCGAAAAGCGCATCAACGATTTTCATCAGTCTCTTGAGCTCGTGTCTCCAGAACACAACTGGAGCAGCACTGTAAAGCAGATTGATCTTGGCATTGTACTCGGGATAAGTCGAGAGGAGCACGTAGCTCAACGTCGTCCCCATGGAGTAGCCGTAATACGTCAGATTTTCCACTCCTGTTTCAGCGAGAACACGATCGATGAACGACTTCACGTCGTAGATTGCCATCTCGTGGTAGCTGCGCACAAAGATGTGTGTCAAGAACACGAATTCCGTTTTATTTTACGAGACTTTAGCGGATCAAATTCACCGTTTTTCCTCCCATTTACTTTTTTGAATTACAAAAAAAAACTTATTTCTCTCTCTTTTGCAGAATACCTGAACTCCCAAAAGTCCGAATTTTCTGGGCTCTTGGAAACGTGGGATCTTGAATAACAGTTCCCTCGAACGTTTCCTATCCAGACGTCGAACCCAGCATCGACCAGCAGGAAAGCTATGAAAATAATGTTTATACGAATAAGTCGATTTTAAGATACATCAGAACATTTTTCAAACAAATTTTATTATAAATATATAAATACATTACATTAGAAACAAAATAAAAACAAATTAAAAATAATTCTTGGCGACTTGTCATTTTGTTCGGTGCAATAAGCGTTTAAATGCCATTATCTGATTTTATCGTTTCATCCGTATTTTACAAATATAATTATTTATGTAGGTTTCGTAAAAGTACTGATATATCACTTACGTGATTGCACTTATATAATAGAGAAAATTATAATGACAACTGACGTATGAAGGTAATACATTAATCATAAAAGGAAGAAAAATCAAATAATCAAGACTTAAATTCGATAATAATATATCAGGTATCAAGTTCCACAGTCTCTTCATCCTATTCAATGACGCGTTAGAGCCAACATTAGAGATTCAAAAGTATGTAACTTGTAAGACACATAACATATTCAAAATTTGTTCATTAGGCTAGAACTAAAAAAAAAAGTTGTAAAAGTCATTTCACGTAATGAATAGTAATGAATAGTAGCGATAGGAGGCATAATTATGGTCGCAATGTTTGGTTGCGAAAGATTTGATTCGAGGATTAAATAGGATTTCTGAGTCCATGATGAAAAATGCTCTGTTTATTTTTACCGACCCAATAAAATAATCATGTAACTCGGTCCTAAGGCCTTGTAGAAGGGGAGTAAACAGCGGCTTTTTTTTTGGATCAGATGTTAAATTGTTTTCTAAAGCTAGTCTGTTAAATGGCATTGCAGAGCGACCAATTTTCACCCAAAGTCTACGGATACAGCGAAGATTTTAATGCCATCCGCATAAAATGGAATTTTAGCAAACTTTATCAATGAAACGTGCGTAATCTAGTCGAATGAAACGAGGGAAAACAAGCGTAATGTTATTACGAATATTGCTACCGGATACATAACACAATTCAAATACCCAATTATCGAACTTTCACGTAATTGTTTATCTCAGGCAACAATAACGACAAGTTTCCGTATTGGCTCATTCAGCGATAATGTAAACGCATATGAACGATCGACGCACTTGAAGAGTGAAAAAAGGATTAATGATCGATCATTCATAAGTACGGTCGATGGCATCACGTAGCTCGCGGTATTTTCATCGTGTTTGAGGGGAAAAAAGCGATTGAAAAGCGAATTACCAAGATCTCTTTGCGGACCGATAAGTACCCAACTGTCGCTGGAGAGGCCGATTCCATGTTGAAGATAAAAAGCCGGTTTACCAGGTTGTTTCGGTCTTGAAGGACTGCCGCTGATACGATGAAGACGTAAAATATAACCGTCGTCGGTCGTAACATTGTACTCCTCTGCAATGTAACCGTGCTGCTCCACTAAGCCGATCTGTGCAAAGTATCCGCGACAAACAGTTAATCATTGTGAAATTGTTTAGAGCATGTGCGGAAAGCAAATTGCCACTTGCAAACGTTACTGTTGCCGGTTCCAATTTGTTTTCAGAGTTATTTTAATCCATTGTCGATACAAAAATTCATTGAAATTAGAGCGCTGAGATATTTCAGCATTACTGGCGGATTTTCTGCAAGCGCGATAACAGAAAATTTATGGTTTTCAAAAGATGGGTGAAATACTATTCAAGAAACGAATGATTAAGCTTCTTACGCCTATCTCAATCTAATACAAATGTAATCGAAAAGGTCGTGTGATCTCTGAATTACTTTGGAATTACATTGGCGAATGATCGACGGTGGAAGCTCATTCTCAGCGATTGTTTGTTTGTTTTCATTGCAAAAAAAAAAAAAAAAAAAAAACTACAAATAAACTCCATGTGAATTTGACTGGCAAATGCGTGCTGCACTCACAAAATCAAGAACAGCATACTGCGTGTTTGTATCGATCCTTTCTTGCAAGCTTCTTACATGGACGACTTGTTTACTCAACGGTATAAAATCGTTAATCAATGGCTCCAAGAAGTTTTTGTAAGTCGTGACGAGTAGCGGCAACAGCATGCGCAAAAATATCCCTTTCATGGTTATCGTCCTGCACTCACACTGGGACAGTCGTTGTCTCACTAAAAATTGGTCGAGGCCAGGTCGCGCACACACAATTTATAGGTATACACCTCCCCGGCACACACGCTCGAATTACAAATCGAGCGCACTTCGTTTTCCACAGCCACGTGCTTCAAAAGTTATAAGCCTTATCTTAGTCGGCGCGTGGCGTTTTGTTTTACGTAAGCTTTGATTGTTTTCGACTTGCGTATAATTAGTACCGTTTCTTTTTCATTGTTGATACACGTGTGTGCCTGCGTTTGTGTGTATTCTTTTGTGGGTAATGCCCATCGCGCTTGTTCCACTCCTCCGCGATCTGCACATGCAGCGCAGATGCAGCCTTGGCACTTTTCACTTTGGTGCCTGCAAGACTTTCTCTTTTTTAATGTTTGTCATTCGCCGTCATCGCCGCTTATCAGTGCACCTGGCCTTCGCTTACGTACGGGTTAGATCAGAAAGATGTGTATCTTAGGAGTACCGAACGGCGCCATTACTCTACGAAAACCATATGGGCTTGCTCTATAAGTACACACTTAGATTATTCGCGAAGCAAATATTCAAAATCGATAGTTTCGATCTCATATGCAGCATTCGCTCTATCTGGAAACGAACGATAGCACGTACGCGTTGCTAGGGAAAATGTTTAAAAGGAAAACGACTAATGTTTGTCTATTTGAAATACCGATTTCTGTTTGGCCTTCGGATGTTCTGCGTTAATTATTACACGTGTGGGCAATTACGTTAAATACTATTCCTTGAATAGATGATGATACTTGTCAACAGCTAATGTCCACGTTAAAATAGACAAAGTAACGTCGTAGTATTTGATAATTATTGCGAGATGGTTTATTCTAAGCTTGGGGATTCAGAAATCTTTCACGACGGACTCAAATATTTTTACCACTGGAAAACATTACCGTTGTAATGTTATGATCACCTGAGCTTCAACTTGATCTTATGATTCGACATTCGGTACCAAACCAACTATCATTTTGTAATCGGTTTAAACTTTACATCATAAATGCGTAATAGAATTAATTAATTCACAGGTATATCCATTCGTTACAACTTTGATGTAATCAATTACCAATTTTTTCTACTCGTTCAATTTACTTATCGATCAATTCCAAAGAAATATCTCGTCGTTAGCGTTAAACGATTGCTTGGAAAATTCAATTAATCAAAAAGAATTAATTTTTTTTAAGAAAAATATCGTCACCGCGTCATAATATTCACTTTATTGAATTTACTGAGATACAAAATAGTTATAGTGATTTGAACATGTTTTTTTGACAGTTATTAATAATATTAAGTTGTGGTTATTAGCGAGAAAAAGGAAGATCATTTAATTTCTGTGATGAACGCTTCGGAAAAAGAATAAGCAATTGCATTCAGCTAACAACTTTACATAATAAACTAATTTGTAAATGAGAATGTTACCCTGTAGACTAGATAAGATGGCTAAGCTTTAAAGATTGGTTCTGTGGCTTGTCGGAGATCAAAAAAGAAAACTGAATTTCAATATGCCGGACTAACAATTGGTATGCTTTGGGAATATGTTTGGTAGGTCTTGAAACAATTCTCCGACCACTTTAGTCCTTATCCACAGATCGGATAATTGTATTCCTCCAAAACTGTACACTTAAAAAAGTATACATCAAGCTGAAAGTTTGTCATACAAGAAAAGTGATTTACCCAACATCGTTTCGCGAGTGAAAGATCTCGACGGAAGCAAGTGACACTCACTCCCGGTCGCTCGTTAGAAAACGATCGATCTTGCCAATTCTTTACGGTCGTACTTCGTACGTAGAGACTTTACAGAATATCGTATCAACGAAATTCTCAACGAAATAACTCAAATGAAAACAAGTTTGACGCTGCTTATTCCGCAATTCACGTTACAGAATGTTTTCTGCTTAACACTCTAATAAATAATGCACGAGCCGGCGTAATCGATAAGCGATCACTTTAATCCCAACGACGAATGTCAATTTATATGTATTTGTTCAAATAATTTTCCTCGACTATATACGCTCGAAATAAAACAAAAAAAAAGAAATAAAACTCGCACGAGTGTAAGCTACATCTCTTTCATCAAATGACATAAAAAAAATTAGACGCCTGTATCCAATTACAGAGAAAACAACAAACTTAACGAGCGCGCCGTCGAAACGAACAAGTTTTTGGCGTTGAACTCCATCGGCTTACAAGTTGACTCGAGTCTCCTAATATCGACTTCACCTGCTCACGGCAATTATTTTTCCATGACGAATTCAACGCCGCTCGCACCTTATGTCTGCGTCTGTGGCGCCTGTGTGCGTATAATACGATATTTCGAGCACGTAGGCGAAATTTCGGGAGCTACGTAATTCGCCTGCCACCCTACTCTCATACCCTCGAATCTCCTTCGGATTGGATTTCAGCGGTAGAATATGAGAGTCCAAGGATGCGCTCAGATTTAGATATTCCCTTTTTTTCAACATTCGTCGATGCGTCTTAGCTTATATGCAATTGCGATATTATACACTTTATGCTTTATCGAGTTTTACAGTCACATTGCTTCTAATCAAAAGCTACTGTATAATGCTTGCTTATTACTGACAAAAAGGTCCAGTAGTTGAAGCTGGAATCCTTTAAGAAAAATAGACAGTTTTTATTTCATCAGCAATTTTATCGGCTTATCTATACTTAGAATGTACAATTGAGTAATCCAAAATGGAATAGTCAGCATTGCCACTACAGATTCGAAAGAATCCATCGGCAATACTCATCAGCCTCTTAAACTCGATGTCTAACGCTAAGCGCGTAGCTCAACGCCGCGTCAGCATGGAATACAACCGTGATACATTAGATTTCGTGCGCGTCTCAGTTTCTCGGAGATGCGCGATTGATAAACAACTTAACGCCGTACATTGCCATCCGATGATGGCTATATTAGCCAAGTCATTCCTTCAAAAAGGATGTATTTTTCTGTGATTTCACGCGAACCTATCCGAGAATTTAATGTTTCAATCTTGTAACTTATCTCGAATTTTGCGGACGAAAAACTAAAATTGTTAAATAACAATGAGGATTGCGTACAATTATTCGAATTCTTTGATCAACCAACAACGAAACAATCACTTTGAAAATGAAAAGAAACATCCAAAAGGATCAAAGAGGATCTAATGACGCAATTATCTATAGACAGCCGACTAATCAACGATGGTGACTGTACGATCGATTGGAAAATTACAAAGACCTTTCTGAGGCTCGATCAGCATTTAGCTACCTGTACTGTTACTCATCCATAAAAAGGTAAGTAACCGGTTTGTTAGACACTTTCAGTCTCGACGAACTGCCATCGACACGTTTTAGACGCACAATAATATAATCGACATCAGTTATGGCACTGCGCTCCCCTTCAGCGTAGTAGCCGTACTGCTCCATTGAGCCAAGCGAAGGTATCAATTTTGTACATGCAGTGGGCCAAACTGTATCATGTTAGACGATTTGCGCAACATGAGGTATTGTGGAACTTCGTGACGGAAAACTAAGTGCACTGAAAAATGTCTATATTTTATTTTAAATTGAACGATAGTTCTGGTTAGATGGTGGTAGAACAATATCAACGACTGTGTGGTCCATAGCGTCATCAACAGCCGAAGCCGTGCACAACCATTTGATAGCTCTAATTGCATTAGTTCTATATTCTATTAGTTCAAGGCATTAAGTCGACGCGCCGCACGTGTCACGATATATACGTATCTATATAACCTCTGAATAACAACCTTGGCCAATAAATTTTTTCTTCGTTGTTGCACATGCATGATTATTGTACCAGACTGTATTAAACTTGTAACAATTTCGATTTTTTGACAATTATTATTTAACAAATAATGAAATTTTCATGTTAAAATGGACGAAAAATGTTATTAATAATCATCCACTGGAAATCATTTATCATTTCCATCTTATCTCACGAATAATTAAATATTTTAGATTGCGAACAACAACTTGGAAAATAGAGACAAGTCCAGTCTCCAACATTCTTTAGGAAAGCAAAAAGAGCGATGTCTCATGGGTATCCTAACAATTGATAAATTAGTTATTAGATTTCTATCTAAAAATTCATTATTTTTCTGACGAATAGTAGTAGAATTTGTTGAGTTTAATATCTTCCACTTGCTTGAAAAATTACAATAAAAATCGGTTTCTCACAATAAATAATGAGTAATACATTAGACGCCTATCGACTGATTTCTTTGGTACTAAAAATAATGATTGTTGATTACGTAAATTTATGTATAAGCGAGATTACTCTATCGTATAGTAAACTCTTCACATCTTTGTTTATAAGGACATCCAAGTGATTGAAAGAATCGTTTGGTATTTGTTTCAAAAGCACAACATTTGGCAGCTTTTTTGCCAAGTAAACAATGTCCTGAAAAAAATTAGACAAATGAAAAATAAAGCGTACAATCTTTATCTTGAATTATAATTTGCTAACCTCGGGTGAGGCAAAATAATCTTTCTTTCCATAATACAAAGCAGTAGGAACCGTGACTCGGTTCAAATCGTAAGTCGGAGGCCTTGTCTTTTTGTATTTAATGTAATTCAGCTGAGGTCCGTAGTCGAATGCTTGGAATCTTTGGCTTAGAATAAGTTGAATGTAATGTTCGAAACACTTTGCTGAGGTTCCCGAAGGGAAGTACGATAAAAAGGTTGAGTAAGTGGTCTATAAAAAAATCTATAGTTTTATTGGAATGTTGATCGATCAGTTAAACTGTACTATTGAAAATAATTTACCGAGTTGATTCTAGCAACATCGACCATCGGTACTACGGCAGTAAAGAATCCATTGCAAAACAAGATTTGTGTCGATTTCGTTTTATCGCTGCAGAAATATTTGCCCAAGTTTCCTATAAACGACGACTGCGGAAATATTTCGTAGTGCTGATGTCGATCTAAGAATTCCTAAAGATACGAGTAAAAATTGATTAAATTACACAATGTTATTTGTAAAATATCGTTACCTTGATCGCTTCCCTATTATCTATAATCCATTTCATCTGCGGAGGCAACTTGTGTTTCCAAAAGACAATCGGGGTGAAATTGATCAAGAGGCTGACTTTGCTATTGTACTCTGGGCGTGTGGCTAACAAAGCAAAAGCTTCGGTTGTGCCCATCGAATAAGCTATGAGAATCAAACGCGCTTGACTCGTTATTTTTAAAGCATAATCCATTTGCAAGCTCAAATCGTAGATGGCAATTTCGTGAAAGCTGCCAAATTGAAGAATAAATCAACGTACAGATTTTTCTAATGATTGTGTGTAAAGAAATTAGAGATTTCCGTACCTGAAATTCCAGAATTTTTTGTCTTGAGGTTTCAAATTGACGTGAGATCTACCGTAAGCATTCCCACGTGTGTTTCCTAACCATACATCATAGCCTGCGTCTGCGAGGAGGAAAGCTATAACGATAGATATTACGCATGAATAAAAAAATAAAGTTCAAAATTACCGAAGGAAAATCAGGAAGTTAGTGAATAAAACCACCAGTCCGGTTCCAGTGAGTTTGCAAGCTTGTATTGTTGAGTGAGAGATAGAGAAAGAGAGAGAGAGAGAGAGAGAGAGAGAGAGAATCAGAGGAGATCGTCGCGTAGAACGATAGGATATAGCAGCACACACCGAGATCTTTGCCAGGACCAGTTAAAACGAAACAGTCGCTAGACAATAGCATGCCATGCTGCAAGAACACGATCGGCTTGCCTGGTGCTTTCGGACTGAACGGGCTGCCGGTAATCCGGTGCAATAACGAAATATAGCCGTCCCGCGTCGTCAGCTTGTACTCTTCCGCTGTATAGCCGCTGTGACGCTCGACAAGCCCGATCTGCAATAGATTCGCGGGGCCGTGTGAAAACTCGTTTTTCTATTTTTTTTTCATTCACGAGATCGCTGTTCGTGTAAGGTGCTTTTTATGTTTTTTTTTCTTTGTCTGTGCGTGCTTCGATAGGAGATCGCCGTTCACAATCACAGAGAACAAATTACATTTGCCCATTTGAGTTCTTACGTTCATTCGTGAATATATATTTAGAAACTTCAATGAATTCAGAGAGATGTGCAAAGTTTGAAAAAACATTTTTTATAACATTGTTTTATTTATGAATGTTTATTATCATTCTTTCTTATTCGAATGTTGATTAAAAATGTTGCACTATTTGCCTGTTCATCGTGCCGAAATAATCGAAAAATACGCGGATTATTTGAAAATTATTCCCGGCAGTAGTTTGTTACTTACGAAATCAAGAACTGCATATCGATTACCCACAGATCGCATTTGTTGCTCACTTCTAACACGAACAACGTCGTACTTGATCGGAAGAATATCCTTCAACTTCCAGCAAACACTACAATTCAGACAAAACATAAATAATACAAGCGTAATTAATTTTATCTGCATGTCAGCCATTTGGACATTTGCACTCGTGAAAGAAACTACAACTCTTCGATATAGAAATCGGATCCGAGTTCACTGGTCGACGGTCTCTAATAAAATAAGCAAAAATGCCTTGATATCGCGAGTATATAAATACGATAATATATTTCACCATTGCATCATCTCGATCCCAACAGAAATAATCTCGATGAATATTATTCCATCTTGACAGCGCGAGACGAATCTAGTTTTTTGTTCCTCCATCAAAAAGTCACATAGTTGACTTTCGTGAATCGAAATGTATATACAAGCCACACGATGTCACTTTTATCGAGCGTTCGTGTATACCTGAATTTATTACTGCAATTTTTCACTGACCTTATGTAGTATGACATCGAATGAAATTGTTCCACCGCACTCGGAAAAAGTAGCCCGTTTTGTACGGTTAATACGAGCGCAAAATCCCTTTATTTCATCAGCACTCCTTTTGTTTTAAGAGGACTTTTCTTCAGCGCGTAATGAAATTTATACCGAAGAGCGTGTGAAATAACAAACAAGATCTCAACAAACGAAAGCTCGTGTCTCGTTGATCCTGAGGTAGGATCCTAAGGAGTAAGTTTTTCTGACACGATACAATTCAGACGAGCCAGGCGTTTCATTCGGACGGATCACTGGAGCGGTCGATAATCAGTCGCTTGGCTGCGTCATTCTATATACTTATTTGGGTTTCCTCGCGCAGTCCACACAATCGGCACCGGATCTAATCTGCGCGTCTTATCTTCCTTTCCTCCCTGCCGCGATGCTGGCGCTGACGTCGCATAATGTGCTAAGCCGGGCTGGGAGGAAAGTCCAGTGGGCCTTTGTGATTTCCTTGGGCGTCATTAATTTTAGTGCCGTGTTTACTTTGGTAACGACTTTTACGCGTTTCTTGCTTTCGTTGATTGCGCGCCTGTCGATACCCGAGCCACGAAAATCAATAACGATCTAGTCTATCTGGAAATGAACATGTCGATACGTAGCGAGAGCTTTCGCGCTAATCAAAGCAGAAGCCCCTCGGCATATGTTAATTTCCAGTCAACGTTTGACTTCGCGTCGACGACGAATAAAAATCATGTCGTGTGTAATACATTCCACGTGGCAACTCGACCCATCTTTACGCGCGATACAGGCGCGCGTGTCGGGTCGAAAGTGCGGTAGGCAAAATCCAATCTCGTGTTCCCCCCTTCGAGAGTCGCTTGGATCGTCGCTTGATTATCCGTTACCGAGTTTCGTAATACTAGACGTCATAATTGCACAGTGACGCTCCTCGCGCAACGTCCTCGAAATACGTTTCTCGAGCGCACGTGCCGGCGTCGATCGGTCACGAGGACAGCGGCACGGGGGGAGCTCGATAAAATAATTTAAAAAAAGCGTCGTAGGCGTGGCCGTTTATTCGGGGAGGCAGAAAACACGACAGAAGAGGGATTGAGAAAGCCCGCGAGCCTGGAAAAACTGGCCGCTCTGGACGCTCGAAACGTTTAATCCGGCGAGCTACGGAGCCGCGGAGGTCGATGAGGTCGACAAGGTTTTGCGGGCCGGTGACGGAAGACCGGCACTCGATTTCTCGATTTCGATCTCGAGGTTAGCCTCTCGTTTGATGAGCTCCATGATGCCGTGGCTCATTTCTTCGAGAACCTCCCACTCCGTCAACCCCAAGCGCCTTTTGTTGCTCAAGTCGTAGACGCCATCCGTGCTGTCGCTGTGCTCGCCCTGCGTGCCCCGCACCTGCGTCGACAATTTTTTTTATTGTAGTTTTTCTTTCCCCGCGACGAGTGCATTGACGCGCAGCCTCGCGCGAATCCACCTGCAGGTTGTATGTGGAGGCGATGCACTTAAACTGTCGCAAATCAGCAGAGAGATTGGGCAGCTTGATGTGCACCGAAGCGCGAATAGTTGTGCCGAGGTTAGTCGGACAGAACGTCAAGTAGCCGAGACGTTCGTGGCGGGCGAACGTGATTGTCTTCTCCAGACAGGTCACTGCCTCGACTAGACGGCCGTAGACTTCTGCGAGATTGCTACCCTCTTGCATCGAAATCAAGCGCAGGTGGTCTTCCTCGTTGCACCATGCCAGTAATGTTTTCTCGGCATTGTAAAAAATGCCGCGACCTGCGATATCGAACGAAGACAATCGTTGTTCGTTGACATTCCTTTTTCTTAACTTGTCATATTACTCGTAGGACCGAAGACAATTGAACGATGAAGTGTAAAAAAAGCCAGAAACGTAGTATCGTGCTTCGAAATTCGATTTGAACGCCCGAACTCGGATAATTCCTTCGGTACGATGAAGACTTTTAACATTGAATAAAGGGAAAATTGTAACGCTACAAGTGTCAATATTGCATAACTATAGATAGATTCTATTCCAAATTAGTTTATCTCGATCCATTTACATTCCGGTTGACGTCGAGTATAAAGCTAGATCGAGCAGTGTGCATGTTAGAGTAAATAACCACTTCATATCCGTGCTTGACAAACTCTGCATGTAATTAATTATTTTTCCGCGACAGACGATTGATGTTATTTCGAAAGTCTATATAAGTAGACTAATTTTGCACTATTAAATTCAACTAAATCGTCGACGAAGCTTGAATAACAAATATGCTAATTAACGTTCGCGAAGCTTATCAAATTCTGCATAATCAGGCGATCGGCTCGGGGGGCCAATCTTGCGCTAATAATAAATTCAGCTTCGCCGGCCTCCCCCCGAAAAATTAATAATTCAAAATCGATTAATTCTCGAACGAAGCACTGACGAAAATCGATAATTCGCCCCAGCTTTTAGCACGCACGTGAATCCAATTACCTTCCGATTTTCCGCTACTCTTTTTTCCGCGACATCGAAGTTACGGACTGTGTGGAGCTTTGTACGCGCAGGAAGAGAAGATAAGTGAACTCGCTCGCGAGACGTAAGAAAAGAAGGGTGGAGGTGGGAGGAGACGATCGCGATGCTCTAAGGTTCGCTTTTATTGCTCGTGAGAGGGATGATCGATCTTTATTGGCCAGAAATTTTTGCGTCGATTTCCCCGTATTTTTTTTCACATCTTACGATGTTATGAATCGCGCGCGATCTTATATCAGCATTTTTTCGTACGCGCGAGATATTAAATTTTATGAATATCGGATCATCGAATTTTTCGTCTCATCGATATGTCGTTTTATTAAAATTTTAATATTAACTCTTGCGTCGAATGTTGTTGATTGATTTGGTACAACTGTTTTCACAGAGCGCTTATTGAACGAGGATGCTTTTAGAATCGAGAATGCGATAAGAAGTAAGAAATTGAGATGTTTCCAGAGCTACACAGTTATCTTATAGTGGCATACGTCTAAGCAGATACATACATCACGGCTGCTTACCTTTTCAATTAGAATTGGATAGATTGAAACAATACAGTTTATCTAGTTTGTTCCCAAAAAGATACGCTGTTTTATTCGGCATCCCGATAATATGACGTGCTATAGAAATTTTCCATTCACATCGTTCCAGTTTGCTGACGCCATGCATGCCCAAATACCTCGCAGTCGCAAGAAATAAACGCGACAACCTAATTTAAAATCGATAAAGCGTGTCTAGACGTCAATTAAGCACAAGACCCTCGATCGCGTCTCGTTCCTTCTCTGAGCAGATTATATAGAAAATTCGCGTCGTAATAATTTTCCGTCGTTCGAGCGGTAGCTTCTCTCCCTTCTGTAGTACATCAAAAAGCCGACAGTAGCTTTCAAGCGAAATAAATACATTCGCCCCTCTTAAATACGACTTTTCTCTCCTACCCTCCTCGCTCGAGCGCTTCAAAGTGGCGTCTTCCCCGAAATTCCATTCCCATGCCTCCCTCGTCGTCGACTCTATACGGAAGCGACTCAATTACTCGTCGAGAAAGAGAGAGAAGGAAGCGCGTACGCTCGATTGTTTTCGCGAGCGAGCGAAAAAAGCAGTCGACTGGAAAATCAAGGGGAAACGGCAAGTGGGATGAAACTCGCACGTCAAAGGCTCCTTTTTTACCCCATTGTCGGTGCGCGTTTTGTTAAGACCACGCAACGTTGTTCCAAGGGAGGGAATTGTCGTTTGACGAAGAATTTTTATGGCAGTCAAACGTTTTCGTACGATGCAATGCGAGTTCGCGTGGAAAGAAAAGAAAAGTCGAAGAAACGTTTAATCAGCCCGTACGTCTTACTCGTTAGATACGCGACACTCGTTCTTTCGCTCTCGCGGAAGCGGGAAACGAAAAGTTCGCCACATTCGATCACGCGAGTAAGAAACCGCGAGCTTTGTGTATTTTTTTCCTTTTGGCGTTCATTTTAAAATCAGTTTCGCGAAAATTTAAATGGCTTATCAAATGTATTCCACTAGCAAGATTCTTAGAATTGATTAAACCTTTTAAAAAAGCTATTCAACTTTCACCGCGGGAAGAGCTTTCACGCTCATTAAGAGATCTGTTTTGGAAAATGAGAAAAACTTTTTAAATGGCTTCTTTGACAAAAAAAGAGTGATAATGGGAGAAAGAACAAGTCTGGAACAATCTAGGGTACGGTATATCGGATCAAACGAGAAGAACATTTATCCGTAGAATAAATCGACGGTCTTTGAAAGGATTGTCACTCACCAGCCGGCCAAAAAGAACAGGCTCCAGCCTCCTGCAGGAAGCGGTCACCCTCCTTGAAGAGATAGTGTTGACTGATCAGTTTCTCCTTCGTTACACGGTCCATGGAAACCAGTGACTGGTATGTGCCCTTCAGGTCGCCTTCCAAATTGCCCAATGCTTTTGATATCTACGAACGAAAAGAGCGCTACTTTTTTTCTGTGTCTAACGAAACTCTCGTTGTTTCGCGTCGGCTTCAGATTAAAGTCGGATGAAAAGGGAGGTGAAAAAAAAAGAGAAAAGGAGAGGGAGAGGGAGAGAAGCCTGTTTATCCTTAAGAGCGCGAACTGGCGTTTTCACTTGGGCGTGCTCTGTTTCATTTCGCTGAGTGCGCGCGCGGCGGCGAGGAAGGAAGCTTGTGTGTACGTGGCTTTTGTCGGGAGGAGGAGGCTGCGGCTAAACGAATTAACACCCGATAAATTAAATAAAACCTTAGTTCTTCTACAAATGAATTTAATTACTACCCAACGCCAACTGCCTTTACCTTCTTTATTCTTTTTTTTCGCGTTTCGACAATTTCATTGAATCGCCGCTCATACGCAATGAGTTTTTATTTTGTCGAACTGGATCTCACTGATCGGATGATGACAAAAAAAAACCAGAAAAATAACAGTTGAAGAAAAGAGCATCTCTGGCCGGTGTAGCGTTTTGGTCGCGCACCCGTCGACAAGAGCGAGAGCGCGAGACGAAATCTCGCATAAGTAATGAAGTTAGGAGTCCGAGTCGGCGCAGTTGTTTTATTGGCATTCGGGCGCGCGCGGAAGGGGCAGAGATAGTAGGTGGAAATTAATGAGGAGTTTTAGCCCAGACTCATAATTAAACTCTCGGCCGACAACTTTAGTCCTAATCTGCATTCATATTCCGGCGCTAAATGGCGTTAACCCGCGGCAACGCCCGGTGGCATTCATTTCGGAATTATGTGGCCGCCCACGTGCGAACGCGCTGCCGGCGTAATAGCCAAAAATAATACCTGGCGGCTTATTGGTCCGCGTCTGAAATATGCGCGCGAGATTGATTGGCGGCGCGCTCTTGCTGCCGAAAATTTCGTAAGGTCGCACGCGGAATGTTACTAGCGGCGAGTAACTCGAAATGCTCACCGCGGACTGGAATTGCGCGCTCTCTCTCTCTCTAATGAGAATTTAACTGCATCTAAACTCGCGATGCTGTGCAGGCAGCGTTCGTGACGGAGTACGAACCTATTGTCAAAGAAATACCGTGGCATTCGACGCGCAACACAGAATTCGCGTTCACCGAGATAATTAGGAACATATTGCTGAAATTAAAATCTTGTAAATTGATTAGAGAGACGCTAGAGGACGAATGGTGCATTATTCACGAAATAACTTACATGCTTGAAAATACTAATATGGACATTGCAGTTTAAATACAATAAATTGTCTCTGCTTTAATAAAGTTGTGAAGGTATCTGTCAGCAATATGGTATATGTTAAAACAAGTATATAATATGAGATAATATTACGAAGGACATAATATTTAGCCATAATACAGACGCTTATGAAAAATCACTCCGAGATTAAGAATAAAGTATTTTCTTATCTGTCGCTTTAAACTTACTTTTCTTTGAATTTCGCAATAATGCTCCTTCTCCATCTTAGGGTTGAAAGGATAATCATAGACAGACCTGGCACACCTGACCCTCGTCGAGACGACGTACTTGTTCGTAGGATCGAGATTCGGCAATTTCGTTGGATCACCCCAGTTGGTTGGTGGATGTATTTGATCGGCGTTAAAACCCTCGTGATATTCTTCGATGATGGGATTGAAGAGGTCGGCAAACACATCGTATGCACAGGGATCACTGGCGTAAGCACCGATGCTGGAGTCTAGATTTTTTAAGCCCGACCGGATGACGTCGAAGAGGGATGACCCGAACTTAGTTTTCCGATGCTAAGAGAAAGGGCATGTTTATCCGTGAGCTTTTTTTTCCAAGTAATTGTAGAGGTACACGCGAGACGAATTACGCCGCAAGATAAGAAAACCAAACGGTTAATGGGCGGGGCAGGAAAGGTGTTACGCTCCTCTTCCGCGGAGATTGGAGCTGGGACAATAGACGTGGTTTTCCGGCGCTCTTCATTTGAATTGTAACTGCATATAGGTTTTTTTCGTTACTCGCCCTCCGACCCGCTCCCTGCCTCCTTGTTCTACGGTAGTTTCGAGGGAATGATTTTAATTTTAAGCCCGCTGGTTTATTGACATTGCAAGCGCGACGTCACCGTTCCCAAATGCCATCATTTCTCACGAGAAAGACAATTAAAGTTCGATAGGGGCTCGCGAAGATGAGCTCGCTTCTTTTCTCTTCTCCTCGTCTTGGGCAAACAACATATTTCGCTTGTAAATAACAACCTAGCGTTGCTTTCAATGGGGAGCCGAGCGCTCTCAAGTGAGAAACATTCTAAAAATCCCGACTAAAAGATTTCCCAAGAGGGCTTCATACAGAGCGGCTTGCTGCTCGCGGAAGCAGCAAGTAGGCAAGTAGCGAGTTATATACACCTAACTAAATTCGACGCAGAAATGGGGTCGGAGAGGCGAGCTCCAGGACAAAGAGGCAAACTTGGGCTTTTCGTCGGAGGCCAATCGATAATTAACATGCAAGACTTATGCGTTACCTTAATTGCTCTGAAGACATTGCAAGTCAAATACTTCTTCATCAGCGAGTCGCTCTCCTTCAAGAAGAAAGCGTTGAACTCGTTTTCGAGCGATTTTGACTCGTCCCGATTCGACTTACACCGCACAGCCTTATCACTCTATGTGTTTAAATTTAAACGTTTTAAGTGTGTAATTGTGACGTCACCCATAAGAAATACATTGTCGCTGAATTTAAACGTTTAGAAGTGTTTAAAATTGAGGACAATGTATTTCTTATGAGTGATGTCATATTAAACCTTTAAATTTAAACACATGGGTTTACCGTGGTAGCGTTTTTTTCCTTGCAGCGGCATTTGTCATAGTCGCACATCTTTCAAATGCGTTGGCTTTTCTTCTTTGATGTCACTTGTGAATTTTGAGGTACCCAGAGATGACTCGGCCAGCAGGTCGACGCTCCTTTTTCCCGAAATGGGGTTAGGCCATCGCGATGAAAGACATTTTTTTTTTTATAGACTTTCATTTCTTTCGCATTGAACGGATTGTTCTTTTTTCTCGCGAATTTTGGTAGCGATTGTAGGCCGTTTTACAGTGACGCTTTTATTATTAATTCTTAATCTCGAAAATCAGGGTATCCCGTAAAAGAATTGTAAAAGGCAAAATTTCTCTTGGACGGTAAGAGAAAAAAACGAATGAATTATAAAGGTCAACTTTTCCATGAAAAGAAACGAGATATGAGCTATTCTGTTTGTACCCAAGATTTAAAAGAGAAAAAAAGTCCTTTCTAGTTTTTCACCACCATATAGTGCAATATTGTCCTTCTTTGATGGAAATAATACAAGACGAGCTGGCTTTCTTACTACAACTATAATAATTCATCTTGAGAGAATAATGCAAAGATTTCGTCGACGTCATTTCGAAATATATCATCAGTACGAAAAAAAACAATCAAATAAACTCTCATTTAGAATAAAGCCAAGGATAACAATGATGAAAGTGAATTGCACACGATTGCGCACGCGAATCACACGTGAAGAAAGCTAAAACATTAATCGACTGAAAAAACTATTTCTTTTCTTTTCTGTTTTTGGAAAAAAGAAAAGCATTTTTTTTTTCATTCGCTCATTAGTGAATGCTTTAACGATTCTCGCTTCCGTCATTATATTGCTTTTGCTCAATCATACGCGAGCTTTTAATCGGTAACTTTCGTTCCCGGCAGCGACTACTCGTTTAAATACGCCCTCGCGCGCTTCATTTGCCCGTTCATCGACCGTATAGTTACGTCTCGCTGCACTTTTCAAGTCCTGCGCGCAATTAAAAAGGACAACGCTGCAAGTGTGGCTGCGTGTACGAGAGCTCGTAAAGATGAATATGTGCGAGGGAGTATCGGTAGTACCTTTTCGTTCTCTCGCGGTGCTAATTGCCACATCAGCTTAGTCGACGCAAAGTCCCCGAGACTAACGGCCCCCGTGAATTATTGAGGTGACAGTGCACGACTTGAAGTGGAAACGAGGCGCAATCCGAGTCGCTCTTTCGCTAAATTGGATCGCGCACGTATGCCCGTTTTGAGCTTTGCGCTTTGCGCTTTGCGCTCTGAAAATTGGATGTTTGACGTGACACGTGAGCAATGCGCGAGTGAAAAAAATAATTAATCCGATAAACAGCGAAATGAAGCAACGATTACCGACGTATAACGACCGAAATCCGCGTTTTAATAAACAAAGCTATGTCGTTAAAAGTCGCTAATTAGAAGAGTCGCGCGGGAACACGCGAGATCAAAGTCGCGAATACTTTACTAGTCTAGGAACAACGGGAGTTTTCGTAAATGATTCTTATGTATTGTGATCTCCTGAACCTGATTTTCGATGGTGGAGACCTGTGAGTGGTGAAACTAAGTTGTTATTGACAAATTAATTGCTTAAACGTTCATAACTTTCATTGTATTTGACTTGACGAGTCTTGAGAAATGTCAAACGATCCGTTATTTAATAACAAATACATCCGTGTTTATGCAACAACAAAGATTTTTATTTGTCTCGTGTACCGACTGCTTTGAAGGAAAAAAAGTTTTAGTCCCGTAAAGAATAAAAAATTAAACTATCCCGAATTTATTTTAGTTAATTGAGCATATCTCCGGTTATACTAAATATTTTTTTATTTTGAGAACACGGATGTATTTGTTATTAAATAACGGATCGTTTGACATTTCTCAAGACTCGTCAAGTCAAATACAATGAAAGTTATGACCGTTTAAACAATTAATTTGTCAATAACAACTTAGTTTCACCACTCACAGGTCTCCATCATCGAAAATCGGGTTCAGGACGACAAAATACATAAGAGTCATTTGGGTGATTCCGTGGACATCGAAAGGCCACGAAAACCCCCGTTGATCCTAGACTATACCGCGCGCAGACCTTTGATCGGCTCGTTCAATTGTTAACAGGAGCACAGCTTGACCGCAAGCACAATAAGCAATGGGGCCGTCGCTCGTTCCACAAATAATTCATTCACGTCGCGTGTGTTGCGTGATGATCGATCGCCAGTTGCCGGCGGCTCGACAACCCAACAACAACAACAAAATTGTCCTAACTTGTTGGGTTTCTCGCGTGGTGTACGTTTCTCGCATTCTTTTCTCCGCAGTGCCAACAAACGTCGATATGCCGAACGTCATCCGTTACATCTGTCTTGCTTGACTATTCTAAATTTTTCTGTTTCGAACGTACTTTCTTTTTTATTTTTCGTCACTTTTTCAAAGCTCAAATCTCATTATAACGCCGTGCTTGCGATGTTTTATGTTTTCGCTGGGGATTCGATAACGAAATCTTTTGTTTCCTTTTGAATGCATTCTTTTTTTCTGAATATTTCGATATAATCAAGTTTGATAATTGGAAGAGAACTTTCTGTCCAACATGCACGAAAGGGTAATAATTAGAAATGTGTCGAATGTTATTTTCATGTAGAGCTGTATTTATTTTTCATAAATGAATATAAAAAAAATTATTTTTTAATAAATGTACGATATTTTAAGCATTGCTCTACTGTGCAATAGATGCATACTTTAAATTTTTTACTCCACCGATAAATTTTGGCTTTCATTTTCAGGATTTTAATGAAAATTTTTTATTTAAAAATTCTTTTCTTTTAAATTATCATGTTTATTATCTTGAAAAAGAATATTTTCGCAACTGCAAAAAAGTCTAATGTCACGGTTCATTATTAGGCGTCTACGGAATGAAAAACATTTTGTAACTGATTAATCAAGGGGGTATTCACTTTGAAAAAAAGGGGGTGTTCACTTTGGAAAAAATGTAAATTGATTTTTTATGTCATTTGCTTATGACTTCAATCTGATTTCAAAGGCTACTAGTCTAATAAATTACTTTCAACACGCATAACTTGGCTTATAAAAGGATCGTTTACTTCACAAACAAAAGAAAAAGCTCATTTATGATAACTACGTCAATAAGATAGGTATGTTTTTGCCTGTCTTATTGATGTAAAACCACGTAACTGTTTTCTTTGTACAGTACAAACATTAGGCACACGACATCAACGATCACACTAAAAATACGCATCGATGGATTTTAAATTATTCAAAAAACGGGTTATGACGCAATTAGAGTTCGCACTTTGAACCTCGGTGAACTATCATAAAATTCGTGTCGACTGGAAGCAAAAACGTGGACGAGACAAGATTCTTCAATCAATCAATTAGATCAATTAATCAGAGTCCCTCTCGGCTTCCGCGCTCAACTTTATTTTTCTCGTCTCCCACGCTCTATCATCTTGCTCTTGTTTTTTTTCTTTTTTACTTTTCTTCTTCCTGTCAAGTCTAGGTTAGTCCAAAATTAACGTGGTCGTTCGGCAGCAATAAATTATCAGGTGTTGTGGAAATAAAAATAAAAGTGCTGAAAAAAAGAAACTTTAAAAAAATAAAAAGAAAAAAAGAGCTATGGACGACAATCGACTGCTGAGGCATTATCGCTCAACAGAGTTCGGCTGGAAGCAGCTGGTGAGGATTATGGAATTAAGTTTCTTTTGACTTTTAGTTGCAATTTACCGGCGCAGTTAATAGGTTAAGTTTTTTTCCTTGGCCTTCTCCTTTCATTTCGATTTCAATTTTAAATTTTTATAATTTTTATTACTCTCTGCTGCTTGGAAAGTTTTTCATCATCCTCTCTCTCTCTCTCTCTCTCTCTCTTTTCCTTTTATTGTGAGATATTAAGAATATCTTACGAAAGTTTATACCTCTTCTCTCTCTCTCTCTCTCATTTTTTGTACATTTGAATTTTTAAAAAGTAATCATCACTTTCATACTGGTTTCTAATAAATTTTGCGAACTTTTCCTACGCGTTTAGCGGGGTGAAAATGACTTTTTCGTGTACAATAAAGTTTCATGAAATTTTGCAGGTCTACAATTATTTGCTAACTGATAGGTACTTCAGAACATTATTTCACTTTGGACCACAATGCGGTGCTTTAACGGCGATTACGTGCCTTCTTATTGGTCTCGTTTTCGTGTACACAATAACCGTGAGTACTGCAGCTATTCATAATTTTGCCTTAGCCACTCGAAATTATAACGTAGACTTTGGAAATGTAACGAGATCTGTCGAACTAAAAAGAATCTTGCTCTACGCGAAAATCAACGAAACGTTTCGTACGCGAATTTCATCACCAACAGTTGTTTTTTTCCGAGGAATATTGAAATCAAATCCAATTTCGACGCGATAAACTTGAGAAGAAAACGCGAGAAGCTCCTTTCAAGCTCGATAGGCTTTCGTATAACCAATTTCACAACTTTAACGAGCTTTCCCGGGAAGAAAAGTCTTCGTCGTAACTTTTGCCACGCCGAAAATGAACACCACGGACGCTTCCTTTCAGCTAGAACACTAGGCAACGAGTCCTCGCTCCAAATTATCTGCGTGCGTGTGTGTGAATACGAGAAGCGAGCTTTTGTGCGAAATCCATTAAAGACGAGTGCGTCACAGAGAGAGAGACAGATAAAACTAGGTCGAGCGCGGCATCGTATGCTCATTTCTTCTCTGCGCTTGCACCCGCTTTTGTGAAGCGTCATTTTCACACGGCTGTTGATTGAACCTTGTGTTGATTCACTCGTCAAAAATTAGTTTGCCACTTCAACGAGATTCTCGCGCGCCTTCTTTTTGCCGCGACTCGCGTGACGATGAGTTTCAATCGAGCAAGGCCGGTCAAACACGCGACACACTCCGGCATCACGACCGTCAAAATTCAGAAGCGGATTAACAGGAGAAATGGAACTCGACCAGCACACACGGACAATCTTTAGGCCGCGAAGCGAGAAGCGCGTGGATTCGCACATTCATGCGCGGGCGAGCATATACGCAGAGCAACCTACGTGCCCGAATATTGACATTGCGTGTTGGTTAATATGCGGTGACATCGCATCACGTACATTTGCCATATCGACGTTATCGTCATCTGGTATTCCACGCATCTTAATACTGTGCGGCTGGCGGGTCGCGTGAAATGCAACCGCATACAACATCCCGCACACACCCACACACGCGCGCGACCGAATCGCGAGGTATTAGTAAATCAAGCCACGACGACGAGCGGCATATTCAGCATAGATTTAGTTACTGGCGCTAGCGCTGCGGATGCTCCCTCATCCGAAAATTTACATCTCAACGGCTATTAGAGCTCGCAATTAGCTTCGCCTGGCTATTTCGGAAAAGAAAAATATCGCTGGTGGCGCGACGGCGACGCCGCGATCGCGCTCTCCACCGACAGTCGCCGAAATTTCTGAATGCTTCTACGGCGGCTAGGATCCGTTCTCTCTCCGAAATTGAAACTGCAGGACCGACAGCAGTGGCGCTTTCGCGTATAAATGCATTTTTTTTTCGCGTGCATCGCGCGTTCAAAAAAAAAAACAAACAAAAAGAAATTCATAAACGCGCGCGGCGAACGGGAGAGCAAAGCACACTCTTCAACGCGCGCAAATCCGCGGCCCGAGCCTTTCATATCGCGCGCGGTGATCTCTCGCAACGAGAAGCATTCGTATATATCCACTGTTGTAACGCGCGCGGCGAAAAAAAAGAAGGGAGAACGTCGCGCTAATCTCCGCTGACACGCAAATCTCCGCGGGGGCCCGGGTCGATCCCTTTATTTACCGAAAACCGGTGCAGTACAGAAACATTTTTCGGCTACAAAAAAAGAGAGAGGGAAGGCGCCTCTCTCATTTGCGCGGCTTAATAGCGGGCGCATGCTCAGCCAAGAGAGTGAGAGAGAGAGAGAGAGAGAGAGAGAGAGTGCAGCCGCCTGTTGACACACATATTCGAGGCGAGCGGCTGCCGCATAAAAAGCGATATTAAAGGCTGTGTAGCAGCAGCTGCACGTGCTCTCTTTCACCACGGCCAAAACGATTTTTTTCTTCGTCTTCGTTGAAAAGGAAGGGAAACCTTTTATCATCTCCCGTCCCTTTGTTTCGCAGCCTTCTTTCAAAGCTTCTTCTTCTATCGCCCGTCTAATATTCTCTCGATTCGCACTTGCTGCGGCGCGTCCCACGCGCTGTTTTATTGTCGCCAAGACACGGCCTTTTTCTCTTTCAAAGACGAAAAAACGCGGCTCCTCTTCCTCGGACACTTTGGCGGCCTCTCAGCGAATGGAAAACACATCCGTCAGCGCGTTTTTCTTTTTCTCTCGCGTCGAGGCTCACGAGAATATACTTCGCTCTTCTCTCTCTCTCTCTCTCTCTCTCTCTCTCTCTCTCTCTCTCTCTCTCTCTCTCTCTCGGGCGAGCTTTCCGTATTCCGTGCGCGAAACGACCAGCGATCCGTGAAATCTGCCTGTCCAGTTCCTGTCGATGACACATGTATATTTATGTCAGCCGTGGCGGATCCGAAATATACTTTTATTGCGCGTGTCAGCGGGTATCATAATAATTTCTAGAAATAAAATGGAATTGAAAATACTTCGAACGAGCGTTGGCTCGAGTTACCGAGTAACGCAGTTTCGAACAATCAGGACGTGTACGCGCGAAAAGGGATCGCGCTCTTCGGCCAATCAATCGACGAACGGCAACTCGCGAGATCGCGCGCCGATCCGCCTTCGGCGGCAGTCGCTAACGGGACACGTGATTTCTCCCGCAGAGCTGGTGCATCTTCCTGATGAACCTCGACAAGTTCAACGAGCTCAACAGCGAGTCCGCAAAGGTACGCGCGATCGCGGCGGCCGCCCCGGCCAACTAATCGCTCGAGGTGCATTGCAGAAGCTGCCCCGTAAGCAGAGCGTGTTGCAGGTGAAGCCGGCGTACAATTGCATAAACAAGCACGTGAGTGCGCGGCGTCGTCTTCGCCGGCGCTGCATTATTGCCAGGGCGTCGCGCGACGAGACGATCTCTCACAAAAGGCTCGCGCGGCTTTTGTCGAGGCGCGCGCCTTGCCTCCCATTGTTGCGCCGACACCGCGCTGCACGCCGGCACGCGTGCGACGAGCAGAGATATTGTTTTGACGTTTCTTGGTCGGCGAGCTGGCGACGACGACCGGCGCGCTTGTCGCCGGCTTTATTTCCGCGAGTGTTCGCGCATTGAGTGATGCTAATTTCTTTTCTGTCTCTTCTGTACTTTGGCATTCTGCGTTTTTCTTTCTTCGGCTTTTTTTTTCTTTTCTTTCTAATGTTGTTTGCTTGTTTCTTTGCTTTGAGATTTTGAGATTATGAAAATGTTTGGAGGTTAAACTGGCAAGTTAAGTATTCACGCATCATTATTTAATTATCTATTATGTTTTAATGCATTTCAAGCAATCTGTCGGTTTTTATAGCACTGTATGATTTAAGTCCGCAATCAAGAATGTTTCGTCACTCAAATTATTATATTATATATTTAAAGGAATATCATTTCAATTATTGGTAATAACAACTCCGAAATCTCATATTCGGCGATATATTTAAAAAGTTATAATTTAACACTGTAATAACATAGGCAATTCGTATTTCAGTTGCAAAATGTAAACGACCGTTTCGTTACAGCTGCAGCAGACGGACATTTTCCTCGACAAAACGAGCAAAGTTGTAAGTTCAAACTACATTCGATCGCGTTGCGAATAATTTGAAAATTATACCCGGAAATCAACACGGGCTTGTTGGTAGAACGAAGGGAATATCGAATAGATAAAACATTTGTAATGAGCTTTCGCGCAAGCAGGTCGAACATGAGCTCTGTGTTCGCGATCGCAATTTTTCATAATGAGGCGCGTCGCAGAATTACATAGAAAAACAATGAGTGATGGTCTAAACATCGAGAGAATTAAATTGAATATTAATTCGCAGAAAACAAATTTAGAGTTGGCCAGAGCAGTATAATTCCAGTGCATTGTGATAAAGTTTATTCATTAACTATGCCATCAACGTTAAAACTAATTTACCGAGTAAGTCTGAAGTTTATACTGTTGCATCTCGTTGCTCTCGGTCCGCGCTACTCTCCCTTTTGCGCTTGCTTGCGCGCGAGCTTTTTGAAACCGAAACCTTAGCTTAAAGGTGGAGCTTAATTGAAATGTACAATTAGCGTAAATCTACCGTAGAGAGGGAGAGAGAGAGAGAGAGTGAGTGAGTGAGTGAGTAGATAGTGAGGAGGAGGAGAAATGAAAAGTCACGGTAACACAATATCTCACTTGTAGGTGCGCAAGGAGCAGTTGGAAGTTGAGCTGCTCAACAGTCGAATCGACTGTGTAAACGAGTTACTCAATCCTGGGGTACGTCCATTATTATTTTTCAGAAATTTCAGGTCTTTGATCGAGAAACAAAAGAACCGTTCATTGTAACAAATCGGTGCACTTTTGTTTATCGACTCTACTCTGTCGATCCGAGTTTTTTTCTCTCTTTTTTATAACGGCTTAAACGACAGTAAACAACGTCGAAAGCTTAAAATCCTTCGATATATTCATAGTCGAAAATTGGACGATCGGTGACAAGACGATCATCGTCGTCACATTCTAATTCAAAGAATTGATAATTAGCTCACTTTAAGGAGAAAGTTGATCTCGCTGCGTTGCAAGTTTATGAATTTCGTAACCGCTTGCATAATTTATTTTCAGGACAAGTCGCAGTGGAGCTTCACCAGACCGCCAAGAGGATACTTTCGTGACATAAACACGCCGTCGACGTTGTAAACAAGAAAGTTCAATTAATTAACGCCAAACTGCAAATATATCGTTTACGCTCGGATTACTGGATTACAGATTTTAACATTCGGTCTGTTTCTGTGGTACGGCGTACGAAGTGATTCCGTAATAAAGAGCTCGAACGGAGCACGATTAATGTATCTGGATGTCGAACATTTCCTCATTGAAATATTCTCTAGCGCACGTCAGTCGAGTGGGTATCCGAAAATCCCGAGGTCGAATGTGACAGTCCGAAATTTTCATTAGGGGAGCTTTTCGCCCCCCCCCTCCCCGAAAACTTCATCGCTCATGCATTTTGCAGGAGAGCAAGCGTGTCTCGTCGCTTAAAGTTTCGTATACACGTCCTTCACTATCAGCGCCTTCCTTCCCTATTCTCCTCGTTTCACTGTCATTTCTGGCTTTTCATTATTCAAGGCCCCGCCCCCTTATCCTTTTCTTTTGCTACTTCCTCAGTTTGGCTTTAACTATTTAAGTGCAGCTACAGTCCACTTTTACTTTTGCCTCTTCTTATCCTTGTCTCGCCAATGTGCCGAGTATTTTTATTTGTTCTCGCGTGCATTGGTTTATTATTGATGAATTGTACGCCAAAAGAAGCACGAACGCTGCTTGGTATTTCAGCCTGGCTTGAGCACGTATACAAATTTTGCATGGGTTCATCAATTATGGACGGAAAGCTACGCGTAGGCATGATGCCTCGCTGGGACATTATGCGCGTCCACGTCCAATTAGTTGACTCTCGAGTGGCTTTACGGCTCAATGAAATTAACGTTGATCGATGTCATAGAATCATAGATTTCCAACGCGCAATCGATCATGCATTTTTTCCTCGACCGCGTCGCAGTTGATTGCACGTATCGCGGCGCCCACGCGCGCATTTACGATCAAAAGTGCGTGAGCACGCGCTTCCTCGTCTCACAATATAGCAGCAGCGGGGCGGCGATGTTTCACGGAAAAGCTCATACCTTCCGTGGAAAATGCTGTTCCGCAGCAGGGCAACAATTCGCCACGCATAAGTATAATATACTTACTCGCTCTCGCGGCCCTGCGTAACGTTACTATTTTTCACTCGGCCTGTATGAAAAGAGAAAAAAAAGGGAAAGAAAACTTGATTCCATTTTTTATTTCTTCCGCACGCGTGCAAAACTCGATCCTCGCCTTATCTCGCGCAAGGCTTGGCAGTTGTATTTTGCGCGCGCGCAGCTCTCTCTCTCTCTCTCTCTCGAGTCGAGAAGGGGCACGGAGAACCGCGAAAAAATAGCTCGAGGAGCAAGGTTGGCGCGCGCTCGAGTGATTTTCCAAGACGAGAAGAGAAAACACAAGGAGAGAAGGGAAAGAAGAAGAGGAAGATGTTTCGCCACCAACGTTCCGCGCTCTTTGTTCCCCCTCTCTCGACGCGCTGGATATAGTCCTTTTATTCCTCTGTTTTCTCTTCCGCCGCGGAGCGCAGCTTTTCGTTGCTCCTCGCAACGTAATTACGGATGTTTTCATTCATAGAATCAGTTGATAAGCGCTGCCGTGGAAACCGACGCGGGGGCAATTTTTCGAAAGGAGGTCGAGGACCAATTGAAGAAGCTACATGTTACTCGTAGTACACGTTGCTCGGACCTTCGAATTCTTTTCAATCATGCGGCTCGAGTGGTTTACTCCTTCTTCTCCGAGATGCCTTGGCTGCTGCTTCAATCATCCCAATGAAAACACCTCGAATGTCAGATGAGATTTTAATCCGGGCATTGAATTTCTGTGATTCTTTTGCCGTAGCAACGAGCTGGTGGTCGAGTGATTTATCCATAAAATCGAACATCACTTACAGACGGATATTTGATTGGGAAATTTCTCAAGGGAATGGAAATAGCCCGAAGGAGCCGTAGTTCGATACAAAAGTAGACATAGATACGTGCCGGCAACCAATCAATCACAATGACTCGGCAACGCAGGTATTTATTTTCTCTGGAATATATATTGATGACGCGTCATCGACCGGAACGAGATGAGATGTGCGGGCGTGTTTGCGAAGAAAATATATATGTGTTTTGAGGTGCACTCGCCTTTATGTGGCTTTGACAGCTCGGCTGTGTAACAAGGGAATGCTTTTTGCGCATATAAGTGCTATGCTCTTACTGAACGCCGCGCTACGCTATCCACATCCTCATCGTATCAGCGTATGAATAAACGGTCGAACTTTAATACCCATCAACATGCAAATTTGACGTTTATTATTTTGTTTATGATTATAATATCGCGGTTAAATGGGACGATGAAATTTTAGCACACGCATCGTGCGCGAGATTGCGACCGAATCTAAAAACCGTTGTTTAACGACCATCGTATTCTGTATACCGCGGATAAGTGATCCTGCTCCTATCAATATATTTCCTAGTGGATTTTTCTATACGGACACTAATAACATTCATACCTAAAGGCTTCCACTTGCGATTTGGAAACGGCATTGAATGGCGCTAATAAACGTACACAAGTATGGAATATGTATAAATTGTCGGTGAAATGTATGAGTAAAACGTCGGCCGAGCAGGCAGGCTGCGCCGAATTCCGCGTGAATACCGTCGACGTGCGCGGCAAATTTAATATAGGAAATAAATAAATTTCAGGCAGACGGGAAGGAAAGAAAAACAAGCGACGCCGTACCGACGGACCATCGACCTCTGTTTTTCTCTGTACTATTGTCCGCGGCATAGGAACGTAGAGACTCGCTCGGGGATATACTCGCGCGTCATTGGAAAATTCCACGTGTTGAGAAGCATTTCCAGACTTTACTTCCAGTCACTTTGTTATGTGTACCTGTATATGCAGACGCGAAATGAGTAAGCAATGTTCAATAGAATTTTTTTTCGCCGAGTATGTAAAAAAGTTTGGCTTTTCTTTATCTCTGCACAGCGAATTCTAAATGAAATATAAAGTCGAAAAGAAATGTAAATAAAAAACTTCTCTTTGATTTTTATGCGTATATAAATAAATCCTACCGAAAAATGAAGGTACCGTTTGAAGTAATACGACTGCAAAGAATTTATATGTTTTGATTAAAGAACGATTTGTTCCTTTCGTTCGGACTTTTGCAGAAAAAAAACTCAAATTAATTTGACATCAGTCACTAATTTGAATAAAAGAAAGATACAAAGTTGTAGAAAGCGGTAGGAGGAACCTCGGTCGAGGCAGGAAAAGGAAAAAAGGACACCTCGAGGACCGACAAGATGTATTGTTCGTTTGGCGAATCGAAATCGCGAATACGAGATGACTCTGCAGCTTTGCCTCGTTCGATAACTACGATAAGACTCGATAACTGTTCCATTAGCTGCACTAATGACGACAGAGAGCATCGCCGGTGAAAATTTCGCCGCGGAAGTCGGCCGTCTTCGTCGTTCGATGCTTTCTCAGCTGTCGAGTAATAAACGGCAATGTCCCGCGCGAGAAAACGAAGAATAAGCGCAGTCGAAAGCTAAAAGGAAGCGATGTCTCACGTGCGTGACCGGCCGCCGTAGCCGTAGTTTGTTTTTAAAGCTCGGGGATTTGCTCGCAGTCGGAGATGCCCTGCGAGATGCGCGAGAGCCGCAAGTGTCGACGGACATTATTGCAACGCGACACGGAACTTGCACAGCTTACGCGCCGTATGATTAGCGTTACACTCTCCATTCAGCCGCGTCTCGCTTTGACTTACATCGTTTATTCGTCGTAACCGACTCGCGAGCACGTGCTTTTCCGCGTTTCGCCAAAAAAATCTACTCCCACGGGTTTGTTGTGTGTACGTATAGAAATTATTAATATTCTGATCGCAAGAGCGTATAGACCGTTACGTACACGCTGCGTAGGCTATGTAATCGATATTACCTTACATAGCTATCACCGGTGATATTTTTCCGTGCAGCAGGTACATGTTAATATCGTAAAAATAACACGCGCGCGGGCAGTTATTGAATTTCTTTTCAAAGCTACAACGTCAAATTGAATTTTTGGAATTTCGCTCGATTTATGTAGATACACACACACACACACACACACACACACACACACACACACACACACACACACACACATCGAACCGCGATGCCAACGACAACGCGGTAGAGCTTCGCACACAACGGGGAAAACAGCTTACGTGCGCGAAAAAGTGACTTTACATATTCATACACGCGCAAAAATTGCAGATTCTTTGTACCGTCGAACATTCGCCGCGAACGGAAAACAAGGTCGCCCACCGCTGACGAAACGGGAGAAGTTAATAATTTTTTTTTTGCGCGCGCGCACCTCTTCTAGAGCTGCTCGAGCGTAATGTATTATCCCTCGGAGCACGCCATAAACATCCGATCGAATTAAAATTCAACGAGCTTTTTTTCTGGAAATAATGCAGAGGGAGGGGAGAACTGAAGAAAACAGACGCGCGAGCTTTTATCGCACGCGTCAGCGGCGGAATGAGATCGTCGAGGGGAACTTGTCGACGTTTCTGTTGCGTATCGTGATGGTTATATTCAGCGACGATGACTCGCGAGAGGCATCTAATTATTGAAAAGTCCGTTTCTCTTGCCTTCCAAGTAAACTACTCGACCGACTCCGAGAAACAATGGCATAACAATAGGAATGCAGGTTAATGAGCTTTCTCGATTACTCTTATCGATCGTTTGGATGCTGTTTGCTACTTTACATCAATTGGAAGTCCTCCTCCACGCAGAAACTAAAACGCTGTACAATTGAGTCTCTCTCTCTCTCTCTTTGTTTGTCGCGTCGCTTTTTCAGGTGATCCATCTTTCTTCAAAGAAATTAAATTCCTACTTACCTGTTAAACCAAAGTGTAAGTCTCGCTGGAGGTACAATTTAATAATTCTCGAGGCGAAACTCGCTACTCAGCAATCGAGCGAGACTGCGAAAACTTGACCGTTATTTTGTTATTTTCAACTGACCGCCTGCCACCCCCTCGGAGAAAGAACCGATGTACAGCGAAAAAAAAAAATTCTCGGCCCATTAATCACAGTCTCTTTTCT